GCTCCCGGGCCAGCCGGGCCGGCTTAGCCCCGAGCGGGATGGGTCGGTCGACGGGTCGGGCTTGAGGGGGTGGGATGGGCAGAGGGCGGGGTGCAAATCTCGGATTCCTGAGCCCGGAGAAAACTTTTTGTGTGTGAGCAGAACCCAGAAGGCAGATTTCTGTGGAAAGCCTCCCTCCCCTCCCCCTTTCTGCATGCTGCGAGCCGAGATTTGAAGGAAAAAATGACTATTAGAGGCCGTGAAACTTAGGCTTCACTTGGCGCCGGAGAGAATTCTGAGAATGTCAGGCGCACCAAATTGGAAGAGCGATTCTTTTTCTTACACGGTAGTAACCGTATTGCCAAAATTAAGTGATAAAGTCTAAGGGTTTTGAAAGGTCCAACCCTTTCACACGACTTGTTAGAGACTTATACTATTCTTAAGAGGCTAGATTTATGCCCGCATGAGTCAGTCGTAGGGCAAGGGCTTGACACTCCTCTGAGCCATGAGATAACCGCCAGTTTTCATTTCGTTGGTTCTTTAAAAGCCCGTTTCTTGACATAAAGAATTTGAACAGAGATGTTCAGAAAAAAAATCAGGAAGGAGCTAGCAGTGACTTTTGCAAAATTCCCAGCAGTCCTTTAAATCTTATTTAAATGATTACTTTTTTCAAAAATGTTTAGGTCAAATGACTCCAGTCTCCTCAGTATATTTGCTGCATCCAGAAATATGGTTTGGCTGTGTAGCATTGTGTTGAATTGACAAGAGTTTTAAATGGTCTCATATGACATAAAAGTCTTTTAAATGAGTATTTTGTATTCGGCTTGAACAGAGGTTTTTCCTTGACTTGTAGGCTTTATTTTCTGGAATCTAATTATTTTACTTTTTTTTTGTTAAAGTTACAAACTTTTTTTGGAAATTTTAAACCCAGTTTCAACTTGTAGATCTTTTGCAATTAATTGGTAGTCACGAATATTTCTATCTTGTGCTTAATACACAATTTGTCTTTTTGCTTTACACATTAAAAAAAAATCTTAGCATGTTCATTGAACTTTCCTGTTAAAAATTTGCCTCTTTTCTGTAACTAGTAGTATTCCCAGGAGCAATGCTGTGAGGGTCTTGTGATACTGAGAACTTTTGAGTTCTGATGATCTTAAGAGGTAGTGGGGGTGGGATGGGAAAAACAGAACTATGTGTTCACAAAGAAATTTTGAATTTTAGGATGCATCTTTATAGAACTAAGCTGTATCAATCAGTAAATATATTCATCTCACACGATAACAGTTTCTTGATCAAGTGTGCCAGTTTCAAATGTTTGTATTTGCTAGTTCATTAAAAATTGAGGCCTGCCTTAGGAAGCATTTACTACCCAGAGTTTAACCACAGTCTGTGTTTCTGTAGACATTCGAGGACTATCAAGTTAATGTTTTGTGATCATGGGAAGTCATTGGTGTTTATCTCATTTTCAGAGTAGCACTTCCTTCATTTTACTTTTCTTCTTCCTCCTATTCTTTCCCGGCTTGGTCCTACTTTTTCATTGACCGTGGACTTTGAAAAGTTGTTGCAGAGAACTGCACCTGGTGCATTTGCACAGTGTTTGAGAAGCAGTCTGGAAGTGTGGTTATCCTATGTTGTCTTAGTGCTTTTTAAAAGGAGATTTGTGTTTTCTTTATAGATGATTAGGTTTCTTGAGTCTCTTCGAGAAAAATAGGCATTTTCTTGAGATCCACCTTCGTGTCTTTTATTTCACTGTGTGCTGCAATATCGTTATTCTGCTGCCTGTTATCTTCACATTATAATTTTGCCACATACAAATGCACTTTTATTCCCAGACTTTTGAGGCAGTATGGAGACCGGTCTTGTATGGTTTTATTATTTATTCTCTCTTCAGGAATTGATTCATTTCAGCATAACGTTACAGGCTGAACATACAGAATGGTTTTTGGAAGGCTAATCCCAGGAGTATGACTGAAGTTTGTTTATTAGGTAGTGTTTGTTGAAATTATTTAGAAGTTGTCCATTTTTCATTATGTTTTTACATATTTTACTGATACACAATTCTACATTTACTCATGTTTTTTTAAAGAAGCAGCCTCAATTATAGCTCACTTTTATGTAGATTTAAAACAATTGTTTTTAGCTTTTAAACGTGGTCATTTTTTCTTTTAAATCTGTGAATGGGAATAGTAAATTAATCTTAGAGCAAAACTTAATGTGAAAGTTGTGTTTTTTTGTTTTAAGTGAGGTGATGCCACCAGCAAGTTGAACTAGAGACAGCAGGGGCTTATTTCACACCTATGTTGTATTTGAAGCAGAGCCAGGAAAATCTGAAAGTTCTCAAACCTTGTTTAAGTGGTCTGTGGGTGTTCATTCTGTTTTTAAATCAAATTTCTAAAGACTGTATACAAATTGAGAGCTGAGGGGCTTTTTATGATTTTGTGGTGATTTGTTGATCTGCTCACCAGGACACAACAGCTGCTTTTGTTAATGAGCGATTCTGCCTTCAGTAATTCAAGCCTTTATATAACCTCAGTGTACATGAAGTTCCTTAAATATCTAATGCTTCCATGTACAGTTTTACAAGATTATTATTGAAAATGTAGGTTAGATACATCAGAAAAGGCATAAAGTATTATTTTCAATAGAGGTTATTAGCAGCATGTATACAAATTAGTTTAGATAAATCATGCATTGTCCTACAAACTAGTTATTTCTGGCTTTATGTAATATAGCTCCTGAATTTTTTCCAGCAGCATAATAAAATGGCTAATCAGGTGAATGGTAATGCGGTACAGTTAAAAGAAGAGGAAGAACCAATGGATACTTCCAGTGTAACTCACACAGAACACTACAAGACACTGATAGAGGCAGGCCTCCCACAGAAGGTGGCAGAAAGACTTGATGAAATATTTCAGACAGGTATAATATGCATTTCTTGTTTCTGACTGGTTATGAAAGTGAGGGCAAACCACTTTGAATTTTATAGATTTTTAAGGTTAAATAATGCTTACTGTTTCTGATCTGTGTAGAGTTGAATATTGTTACTTTCCCTTCATTGAGGACATACAGTACTGGGTTTGACTTTGATATTCTTATTTCATTATTTTGAAGCTTTCTTAGTGTTGAATATGCAGTCTTAGTTGTTATAGAACAGTACATCAATTTGTCTTAGATTTGCCACTAATGAAAATGTATGTTTCAGCGTACCAAATTTTGCATTTTTTCTCCTTATTCAAAATTAGTGATCATTTTGCCTTTACTTTTCTACTTTTAGCTTTTAAAAACTGATTGTTAAAATAGCTTAGGTGGCATAATAAGAGGAATCCTTAGACTGTATTGTCTGAAATGATATTAAATGTCAGACTCCTTGAGAGTTTGTGGCCTGTCAAGTGTTTAATAGACAGAAATCCACATCTCTTGAGAATTTGGAAGTGTTTGGTTTGTAACAGCTGCTCTTTTTTTTTTTTTTTTTAAATCCAGAAGTCCCATGGTTAAGTGCTTAAGCAAATTTGACATCTTAATATGGTTGGTTGTAAGTGGTTTGAAGTTTTAAAGAGGGAGAGAAATATTTACCCTTAGGGAGCGTTGTTCGTAAATAAAAGTGTCCTTGTCCTTTGGGGCCATAGATGGAAACTTTCTTCCTCTGTTTTGTGTGCCTATTCAGAGAGAGAGAGGGAGCGAGAGGGAGAGAGAGAGAGAGGAACTGAATTGTTTCAGTCAGAAATGTGACTTCACTACCATAGGCAAATAGCTGGGGTGTTTTTTGGGGGGGTTGTCCTTAAAAGTTTTTAAGTCTGGCCAGCTCAGGATATTTTAGACACTGTAATGACTTACAAAAATGACTCCTGGGTAATGGTCCCATTTTAAAATCAGTCCTCAGGAACTTTCTGTGATAGTCTAGAGAATTGGCAGTGATCTGCTTAGAGATGCTCTCCTGGAGAGTGTTTTGTCATTGCTAAGAGGCTGATGGTTTGGGTATAGGACTGGATTAACAGGGTGGATTGATGAGTGTCCTGAGTTGTGGCTTTGGGTGGTGGTATTGAATATTGAAGTAAGAAAACTCCCAGTGATTCAGGCATGCTCATTTTGAGCTTTAAAAAGTAATTTTGCAAGCTACTTTACCTTTAATTGGTTTATTTACAATGAAATAAAGTTCTTTTTGGCTTTACCAAAATGGAGCCACTTTTGAGTTAGTTCATATGGACTTAATGTACCAAATATTTCCATTTTACACTGGATCAGTTCTGAAATAAGTTGCTTTATATATATAGAGAAAATACAGTGCAAACTTAACAGAGTTAAGACATTTTATTTAAAATTTAGTAGATCCCTGGTTTTGTGGCACATGCCTGTAATCCCAGCACTCTGGGAGGCTGAGGCAGAAGAATTGCAAGTCTGAGTCCCGTCTGGGCAATTCAATGAGACTCCATTTCAAAAATTAAAAAATAAAAAGGGTTGGGGAAATAGCTCAGTGCAAAGGTCCTGGGTTCAATTCCCATCCTCCCCCCACCCCCTTAGTAAATGCTCTTGTGCAGTTAAATACACAGTACTACAGGATGCCGTGTGTACATTTCATAGATAGTTTACCTATAAGTCCATAAAATTCTTACTGCCACTTGAAAAAGATTATCATTATTGACATTGATGTGAATGCCACAGCATCATTTAAATCTCAGCTTGTTACCTCAGAAGAAATAAAAGAATGCCTTAAAATATGACTTTCAGAATTGATTAATCAAGCTGCACTTGAATTTTCAAAGAGTTTAAAATTATGCCTTTCCACATTCTGATTGCAGCAAAATAGATGCTTAGTTAAATGCATTTTGTTTTATCTTTTGTGCTAATGAGGGAAAGCGTTTAATACTTTTTGGAGAGTGGAAACAATTACTAAATAAAATTGATTCTCATATTTCTTTTCCCATCTCTTATGTAGTAAACAGCTATGGCAGTCTGTAATTTGAAGGTTTATCCCTGGGAAATATACTGTGTTCTTAAACCGCTATTAACACAAACCAGAATTAATGCTTAATCTATAGTACAGTATGTGTATCAGATTTAACTGTTAAGACAACACTGGGGTGTTGGAAATTAGTTCTGAGATTTTCTTTTGTGGGTTGAAATTTGTGTTTGTAGCTGTTGACATTTTTATTTTCATAGTTGCACTTGACCTTTATAGTATTTATATAGCTACATACATGCATATAGTTAAATGAAAATGTAGTTAGTAACAGTATTGAATATATAATTCTTAATAGGCTTTTAATAGGACAGTTTAGCATACCCCTTTTATTGCAGTAATGTTACCTCATTTCAATTTAATTTTTAGGATTGGTAGCTTATGTCGATCTTGATGAAAGAGCAATTGATGCTCTCAGGGAATTTAATGAAGAAGGAGCTCTGTCTGTACTGCAGCAGTTCAAGGAAAGTGACTTATCACATGTTCAGGTAAGGTTATTTCTCAGCAATGTCTTTGAACAGTTAATTATCTGAAATTATTTTCCTATTACTCTTTTTTTCTCCTGTGGAGGAGTGGTCTTGTTTGTTTGTGACTACCCACCGTTCCTTTAGAAAAATTAGGGGGGTGGAATTTAGCTCAGTGTTTCCACCTCCTGCCTTGCAAGCGAGTGCAAGGACCTGAGTTCGATCCCTGGTATCAAAAAAAAAAAAGAAAAGAAAAGAAAAGAAAAATTAGGGGGAAAATACCTGTAGTAAAGAATTTCAGAGGTACAAGTACAAAGCAAAAGTCTCCCTCTTCCATTTTGTGTAGCAAATTACTTTAAAAACTTAAAACCAAGGTTTGATGGTTGTTGCTATTAGGTTTTTACATGTTTGAATTGTTCATATTTTTAACATTTTTGTGTTATCTGATCTTGTTTTATTATCTTGGAGGGAAATAATGTAGGTGGAAGGAGTATTTTCAGCCATCTGGCAAAACATAGTCCAGATTCAGTTAACTATCAACAAATGGAAGATGTCCCAGTGTAGATGATAAACCCCTAAGATCTATACTGTTTTAGTGCTGTCTGTTCCAGTCTTTAGCACATAGTAACCACTCAGCGAGTATTTATTGAATGAATACATATTTTTAAAATCTTGGGGCTGGGGATTTAGTGGTTCTGTGGCCTGCCTTGCAAGCTCAAGGACCCGAGTTCAATCCCTGGTACAAAAAATAATAATAATAATTTTTTTTTTGCTCTTCAGAAATTTGAATTATAATTATGTATTAGATCCTTCAAAGATTCCTAGTAATTCTTTTTATTGAATTACTTGCCCTTTTAGAACAAAAGTGCATTTTTATGTGGAGTTATGAAGACCTACAGGCAAAGAGAGAAACAGGGCAGCAAAGTGCAAGAGTCCACAAAGGGACCTGATGAAGCAAAGATCAAGGTAATGCCCGTATAGTTGTGATGTTCAATGAAAAGCTTTAATGCAGATGCACCCTTACTCCTTGTTCTTTTGGCTGTGAGTGACATGTTTATTGAATTGAAGCAGCTTTTTGAATTGACCTGCTAATGTCTCTTGATTCACTTTATTTCCAAGTAGGCCCTCTCTTCCTTCCTCCCTCTCCACCTGTCCTTTTTTTTACTATGCTGGTGTTTGAACACAGGGCCTTCCAGCGCTGACCTACATCCCCAGCATTTTTTTTCAAAGTCCTTAAATTATCCAGTTGGATTTGAACTTCCATCTACCTTGCCTTAGCTTCCCACAGAACTGGGGTTACAGGCTAGAGGCACCACCTTCTGCTACTTTGTTTCTTTTCTTTCTGTGAGGAGGTATTATTTTAACTACTTCCTTCCTTTTGAATTTTTACTTAACCTGGGTTTCTTTATTTGTAGAATGGGAATAGTAACTGTGCCTACCTCCTATAGTTGTGAGGATTAATGATTTAACATATGCAAAGCACTTAGAGTCCTGCCTGGGATGTAGCAAGAACTGTAACTGTGAGCCATTATCATTGTTATTACTTAGGTAAACTGCTCTGGAAAGTAAATACCAGGCCTTTAGTGAAGGACCAGTGAGACTAATTCCATAGTCAAATTGATGTTGATGCCTTGCTGCTGTGATAGATACCCTTCTTTCCTTACTGGGGATCTAACCCAGAGTTAGTCCATGGCTCTACCACTGACCTAAATCCCCAGCTCAGGCTTTTTTTATTTGAAATAATTATTTTATTTAATATTGTTTAATACTGAAGTTGTTTGGTGTTTTAGATAGGAAATATAACTTGTAGTTCTTCTCATGTAACTAACTTATATAGAGTTCTTTTGTGTTTTTTCCCTGATACCTGTAAAATGGCAGGGAATAATGGTATAATCCCATCTTATAAAAATTCTGTTTTTGTTGGAGTTGAGACAGTCTTGCTATGTAGTTTAGGCTGGCTTTGAACTCACGGCAGTCCTCCTGCCTCAGCCTCCCAATGCTGGAATTACAGGTGTGCACCATCATGTCCAGCATAAAGTTTTAAAATAATTAAGCAAAGTTCTATTTGAGGTACCAGTCTCCGTTTAAAAACACCTCATTAATGTTCATTTAATAGGGTTATATTATTTCCTTAAAGCTAGCTATTTGTGTCTAATAAAGTATGTTATAGATACAATATGTATGTATTACATATTTATACATTATTTACATAATATGCATATAGTTTATATTTGATAGTACTTTTTTTTTTTCTTTTGGTACCAGGGATCAAACTCAGGACCTGTACTTTCAAGGCAGGTGTTGCACCACTGAGCTAAATTCCCCGCTCAATATTGCATGTATTTCTATGTTTAAAAGTACAGAACCTTAAGCCAGGTGTGATAGCACACTTTTGCAATCCCAGCTTTTTGGGAGACTGAGATAGGAGGATCAGAAGTTGGAAGCCACCTGGGCAATTTAGTAAGACGTTATCTCAAAATGAAAAAGGGCTGGAGATACAGCTCAGATAGCTGTAGAGAGCCCTTGGGTTCAACTCCAAGTACCGAGGAGAAAACATAACTTTGAGGCTAAGGTGGAAGAATAGAAATGCATGCATCCCTGTGGGATCCCAGGATTGGTGATACCTAAAATGATATCGGAAATTTGTTGTTTCTCTGTCATTGTATAATTTTTAAAACCTAAAATATAAAATGCTTTCCTTTTTAGATAGATAGATTGCCTTATTTTTTTCTTAACTGGGGATTGAAATCAGGACCTTGCACTTTGCAATTTGCAAGGCAGGTGGTGGAACCACTGAGCTAAATCCCCAGCCCTGCCCTTGTGTTTTTGTTCTGTAGTTTTTTTGGGTTTTTTATCTTATTGCGTATACAGTACAGTTACATTCACTGTTGGGATCTTGTACCCTTTTTTTTGTTTGTTTGTTTGTTGTTTGAGACAGGGTCTCACTATGTAGCCCAGGCTGGTCTCGAACTCACAGCAATCTTCCTGCCTCAGTCTCCCAAGTGCTGGGATTACAGGTGCACCACCATACCCGGCAGGATCTTGTACCTTTACATGACAGATCTTGGTTCTCATTTTTTCCCCGTACCCCTACCCTCCCTCTACCCTCCCCTAGTTACAAAGACTTTGTTTCCATTTTGGGCAAGATAAGATTTTATTTCTTTAAGGCTGAGTATGTTTTCTAACTACCAAATATTTTGAGTATGTACAGTGTGAGAGACTGTCCTGTTCTTGTAGAGCTTATGATAGATCAGGACTATGAAACAAAAAGGTTCAAGCAAAATAAAGGTTAAATCGTGGAACTTTGAGTATGAATAATAGTAAATGAGAGAAGCATGAAGAAGGTAGGACTTTGTTTGTTTGTTTGCCTTACTGGGGATCAAACCCAAGTGCTGTTCTGCCCCTGAGCTACATCCCTACCCCTTTTTCAGTTTTTAATTTTGAGACAGTTCTCATTGAGTTGCCCAAGCTAGGCTTAAACTTGGGATCTTCCTGCCTCAGCCTTTCAAATATCTGGGATTACAGACACGCCAGTGTGCCCAGTTGGAATATTTTATTTTATTTTATGGTTTTGGGTATGAACCCAGGGCCTTGCTCATACTGGGCAAGTACTGTAACACTGAGCAACATCCCCAATCCCAAGACTTCTGATTTTTAAAAAAGAAAAGAAGACTTTATTTCAAATCATTACTGGTGGAAATAGGAATGGTGTATAAAGAAAATTAGTAAGGAAAACTAATTAGGAAAAATGAGAGATACTACAATACATCATTGTGAATAGGTAGCATGGGATCAGTTTATGTATAAGTTTTAATGATCTTTGCTTCCATTTTTTAAATTCCCATTTATAACAAAAAAGTTTTGTGCCTATGGATCTTTCCATTAAATGTATGGAAACGAATGGTAAAATAAGTGGGGGACATGAATGTGAGAGCAACCAGGTGAATTTTGACAAGTTTTATCTGACCACAGAACACATTCTAAGATATTGGGGTACCTTTTGGGAAAGATTAATACAACGATTTCTGAATTTGTGATGATCAATTTTTGAGTGTTAATGTATGTATAATTTTCTCTAGGCCTTGCTTGAGAGGACTGGTTATACTCTAGATGTAACAACAGGACAAAGGAAGTATGGTGGGCCTCCACCAGACAGTGTGTACTCAGGTGTGCAGCCTGGAATTGGAACAGAGGTAAGTGTTCTTCAGTAGCTTGTCAGAAATCTTTCTAATTTGTTAACTGTTCTATCTACTGTATGATGGGAAAATATTTGATTGTTTCTGGAGTGCAGCTGTTGTTATTTGGAGAGGACCCATGTGTATTTTGCTGTCAATATTAGCAAAGATAAACTTTGTATAGATACACAAACACCATTTATTGATTGATTGATTGATTGAATTTGGGATACTGGGGATCAAACTCACACCTTTTAAAGGGATGTAGAGTTCTTGGAATTAGTTACTAGCAATAAAAATTTTAGGTGCTTGGTGTGAGGTAATAAGGGGGAAGCAGTTGCTTTCTTATTTTTTGCATTTTTATTGCTGGGAATTGAACCCAGGGCCTCATACATGCAAAGCATAATCTCTACCATTTGAGCTATCCATCCAGCTCTGTTTGTTTAGTTTTTTTTTTAGTTTTTTTTTTTTGTACCAGGAATCAAACTTGGGCCCTTGGGCTTGCAAGGCAGACAGCCGAATCACTGGCCCTTCTGTTTTTGTTTTTTAATGTCAGCAATTTTGAACTGTTCCTGCCTGTCTTTTTTGCCTCCTACCGTCACTTAGAATGTACTTGTATTTACTGAGAGACATTGATGGAAAAGGATTATGCAAGGGAGGGTATGGAAAGAAAAAGATTGAACATGTTAGACTGTATTTAAACAAAGAAATAGTGCGTGCTTCATCTGTGCCATCATAAAAATTCCTCCATATTCCTTTATTTGTTTGTTTATTTTTGAGACAATCTCACTATGTAGTTCAGGCTGCCCTTGAACTCACTATGTGGTCCAGGATAGCCTTGAATTTGTGACCCTCCTGCCTCAGCCTCCCAAGTGCTGGTATTACAGACGTGCACTACCATGCCTGGCCTCTTTACAGCAGAGACCTTTCCTGATTTCATGTCTGTGGTCTATATTTAGTACCTAGCATAATGCCAGAAACATAGTGGACACACAATATCTGATGGAAGATTTATTATGCTAATTTTCTTTGAATACTGAAATCGTGGCCTTTATAGCTTAAATTTTAAAGTAGTTTAAGTGATAATTTTATAGGATTTTTCTTTGAGTTCTTTTTTGTTGTTGTTTTGATGGGGAGTGCTGAGGATTGAACCCAGGCTTTATGCCTGCTAGGCAAGTGCTGTAACACTGGGCTATATTCTCAGCCCTTTCATTTTTGAGATAGGATCTCATCAAGTTACCTAGGCTGGCCTTGAACTTCCCATTCTCCTTACTCAGCTGCCAAATAACTAGAATTACATGCATGTACCACCATGCCCAGATTGTTAGTACTTAGGAGATTTCACTCAAGGTAAACAGGGTGGTGTATGTCTGTAATCACAGCTTTTTTTTTTTTGTGGGGGATTGAACTCAGGACCTTGCACTTGAGAGGCAGGCGGTGGAACCACTGAGCTAAATCTCTGGTCCCTGTAATCACAGCTAATTAATAGGATTTTCAGATGGCAAGTTCAAGGCCTACCTGAGCAACTTAATGAGGCTCTGTCTCAAATAGAAGGGGCTAGAGGAGGTAGTTCAGTGATAGATTGCTTGCCTAGCATGAGCAAGACACATTTAGTCCCCAGTACCTCAAAAGTTTTTTTCTTTTTTACTAGACAGATTGAACAATTTAACAGGATAAACTATTTTGGGTATCCAGTTAGAAACAGATAGTTATGCCAATCTTATATTGCCTCTTTAGGAGAAAGATGCATTTTTCTATATATTAAACATTATTACTTGCAGCAAAGTCTGTGTGTCGGGGGGGTGATACTGGGATTGAACTGAGGGGCCTTTGCACTGAGCTACAGCACCTACCCTTTTTAAATTTTGAGACAAGGTCTGGCTAATTTGTTAAATTGTCTAGGTTGGGCTCGAATTTGCCAAGACTCATTCTCTATCCTTCCAGAGTGTTGGAATTAGAGGTGTGGGCCTGGATATTTGATCAGCTTAATAACCACACCAAATTGGTTGTAAGTGTTGCTGTTTGTTTTGTTACAGTTATTGAAAATTTTTAGGTCTTGATTGAGGAAATTGAATTTAGGGTCAATCCATGAGATTGACCGTATAAAATTAAATTAGAAGAGGACTATGAGGTCTCTTCTGTAAATTAATCCTGTAGATGAGCTTTAAAGACATTTTTGCCAAGCATGTTGAGATGATTAAACATATATGAAAGATGGGTATTATTATTATTGTTAGTATTATTTTTGTGGTACTGGGGAACTGAACCCAGGGCCTTTGTGCTGAGCTGTATCCCAGCCCTTCATTAATTTTTAGTCAGGCCTCACTAAATCACCTTGTTGCTCAGACTGGTCTTGAGCTTGAGCTCCTCTTGGTACAGACTTCCAGAGTGCATGAATTATAGGTGTGCACCACTATTTCCAGAGATGGGTATTGATTTTGAAATGTATTTTTTAGTGTGTGTAGGCTCTCACATCTAATGTGGTTATAGTATCATTGTATTTTCCAGCTAGTAATATAAAACTGTTTCGAGATTTTGTTTCCATTAAAATAAATATATAATATCTGTGGAGGTCATGGATGTGTGTTTTTTGAGATGGGGGTCTCACTAACTTGCCCAGGCTGCTTTCCAGCTTCTGAGCTCAGGTATTCCTCTTGCCTCAGCTTCCTGTGTAGCTGTGGCCACCATTCCTGGAGAAAGATATATATACACAGGGCCTTGCTATGTTGCTCAGCCTATTCTCAAACTTGTGATCCTCCTGCCTCAGCCTACTAGAGCCCTCGGGTTACAGGCATGCTTCACCACACCTGACTTATAATTCTTACTTTTTTGAAGAGCATAGCACCTATGATCTGTAGAGGAATGAAAAAGAAATGGTAAATTAAGGTCTTATTCTTTGTTTTATTAATGAAACTTTTAGAGAACCAGTATATTTAACAATGTCCCAAAAAGTCTTTGACTCAGTTGAATTACATATGAGTAGAAACTGATGTGTTTGTGAACTTGTGAAATAACAATTTTAAGTGGGAGCTAGAATAATGGAAAAACCCTAATAAATACCCAAAAGACTGTTCAGCTCCCTGGTTACTTCTGTCTGGAGTTCTTCCCCTCCCCTCTCCTGGGTGTGATTATTAAACTAGGTAGATTGTGGTCAGCTAAAACTTCCTAAGCCTTGATGGCTAGTGAGTAAAGAAAACTGTTGTTATGGGATAGACTGTGTTCTGGTGAGGAGGGACACCTGAATATAACTGAAGGCTGACTGAATAGTACACGGAGAGACTAATATTAAAAAATGGAAAATATCTCTATTTCATTTTAGTAATTAAAATTGAATATACAATCTTTAAAAGGAGCAATGCCAAAGTTATTTTTGAGAGCTGTTTTGTTTCTCAGATAAATCAGTATTTTCATTCTGTGATCTGTTTCTTCTTAAACCTCGGTCGTTATAATATTGTGGGCTTTATTAACTACAAATATGTTAATGTTTCTTTTTTCTTTTTCTTTTTTTTTTCTTTTTTTTGGTACCAGGGATGGAACTCAGGACCATGTGCTCGTGAGGCAGGCGGAGGCACTGAGCTAAATTCCCAGCCCTGTGTTAGTGTTTCTTATAAGAAAAGTAGTATTTGTACAGAAAATCTGTAAGTTGTTCTTTTAGCATAGAGTACAAGTAACTTGTGCTTGTGAATTCTTTCTGTAAAGTGATTATTCAACCCATAAATTACTTTTCTTGAAAACACAGATTTTTTTTTTTCACTTTGAGTTTGCTTAATGAAGCAAATTTTTCTGGTTCTAAAATTAAAGGCACAAGTGTTACAGAAATAGTATATGGGCTAAGTATAGTGGTGTGAGCCTGTAGACATGATACTCAGGAGGCTGAGGTGGGCGGGTTCCCTGAGTCCAGCAGTTAGAGACAAGCCCAAGCAATATAATGAAGCTTTGTCTCAAAAAGTTAAGAAAAATAAAAAATTGAAGTAGTGCAAAATGTCTGACCCTGTGTGTCATAGTTTTTTCATAGTGTTATTGTGTGTGTTCTTTCCATATATTTGGTTTTTTTTTATTCAGAGTGGTTCTGCAGTTTGAACTGCAGTTTAAAAAATATTTTTCCTTATATTTGTAATAAGGCGAATATGAATGATAAACAGTTTTAAACTATTGCGTTATGTTAATAGAAACATATAAAGCAAAATTTACTTCTCAGAACTTTGTTTTTCTTTTGGTTTGATGCTCGGTATTGGACCCTGGGCCTTATGCATGTTAAATTAAGCATATGCTTTACCATTGAGCTGCACCCCAGGTCCTCAGACTAGTTTTGAATTCCTGTAAACTTCCCAACAGATAAGGCCAGAGAGCCTAGCCACACCTAAGAATACATTTCAAAATTATTAGTTGCTAATCTCCCCCCCCAGGATACCTTTTATTCATGTCTTTTAGTGCTTTGATTTGTTAATAAAAGGTCCAATAGGGTTAATCTACAAGACAGTATAGCTGAAGTTGGTAAGAAGTAGTCATATTCTGGATTTATTTGTTTGTTTATGGCTTTTTGAGACGGGGTTGGGTCTCACTATGGATTCCAGGCTGGCCTTGAACTCATGCTGCTCTTCCTGCCCTCTGCCTTCTGAGCGCTGGCATCACAGGTATGCATCACCACGCCCGGCTGGATCTGGATATGTAAAAGGCAGATGTAATTGAGTTGTCAGGTTGGTGGTGTGAGAAAAAGGAGCAAAGGATGAGTTCAAGGCTTTTGACCTGAGCAGCTAAAGGATAAAGTTGTCATTTATTGAAATGAGGAAAGCTGTAGAGAAGAGCAAGTTAGCAGGGTTAAGAAACGTTACGCATTAGCGGTCTCTTAGACGTCTAGGTGGAACTGTGGAGTGAAGAGTTGCTCATATGAGCCTGAAGTTCAAGGGCATAGCTAGAGATTATACATGTGGATGGTATAAATATCTAAAGGGAAATTTTAAAAACCGAAATTCAGAAGTCACCAAGGAAGTATTTGTAGCTAGATCAAAGGTCTAGAGTCTGAGTGCCCCAACTTTCTAACATTTAGAATTAGGGGAGATGAGAAAAAACCAGGAAAGGAGACTTAGAAGAAAGATCCAGTGAGGTAAGCAAGAAAAACTGGGAGTATGGTGTCCTGTAAGTCAGCTGAAGAAAGTTTTCACAGGAGAAGTGACTGGCCAGTTATATCATACTTTCTAGATGAGATGAGGACTGATAACTGACTCTTAGTTGTGGCAATGTGTAGGTTATTAGTGATTTTGACAACGATGATGGTAAGAGCCAGATTTAGAAAAGATTCAGAACAGGAGATAAGTAATTTGGACAGCAAATATATACAGCTGTTTTGAGGAATTTCACTGCAAGAAGCAGAAAAATGTAGTATTAGCTGGATGAGTTACAGAGTCAAAATACATTTCTGCTCAAATTTTTATTTTTTCTAGTCCCCACCCACCAGGAATGGAACTCAGTATCTTTAGTTTGCAAGGCAGATGCGGCACTACTGAGCTAAATCTCTGGCTATTTTTTTCTAGTTTTTCCTTTGAAACAGGGTCTTGCTATGTAGTTCAGATTGGCCTTGAACTCAATTTGTAGTCTAGGCTGGTTTTGAACTCCCAGTAGTCCTCTGCCTCAGCCTCCTGAGTGCTGGTATTACAAGAATGCACCACCATACCTGGCCATGCTCAAATTTTAATGGAGAAATTATATATATACATATACATATATATGTGTGTATATATATATGTATATGTATATATATATATATATATATTGGTACCAGGCATCGAACTCGGGACCTTGTGCTTGTGAGGCAGGCAGCAGAACCACTGAGCTAAATCTCTGGTCCTTAATGGAGAAATTGTAATTCATTTTCTTTTCTTTTCTTTTTCAGCTGTTCTGTGGATTGAACTCAGAACCTGTGCTTGTGAGGCAGGAACGGTACCACTGAGCTAAATCCCCAGCCCTTACAGTTCATTTTGTACCGCAGTCAAGATGTTCCTTTTGGCATGCTTGTAGTCCTAACCCTTGGGAGACTGAGGCAGGAGGATGTCTGGAGTTCTAGGCCATCCTGGGCTATGTTGTAAATTCAGGGCCAGCCTGAACTATAAAGGAATACCCTGCCTCAAACAAACAAACAAACAAACAGGGAGAGATAGGGTAACAATGAAAACCCCAATGGCAAGGCTGTAAGAAAACTAGCCTGTAATCCCAGCACTCAAGAGGCTGAGGCAGAAGGATAACCTCAACCTCAAGTTTGAGGCTAACCTGGGCTACACATAGTGAGAGATCCTGTCTCAAAAATACAAACTAGGAAGGAGGGGCTGGGGGTTTAGCTCAGTGGCACCATGCCTGCCTGACAAGCACAAAGTCCTGAGTTTGATTCTTGGTAACCACAACCCTCCCCCCATTGTTCCTTTCATCGTGAAAGTCATACTAAGTCATCTTTCTTTTCAGAACTAGGATGGCTTCCCAGCAAATCTGCAATAAAGTATGAACTCCTAACCTTGGTTTAAATTAATTTGGTCCCTATTCTCTCTCCCTCTCTCCCTCTTTTTTTGATACTGGGGATCGAACTCGGGACCTTGCTTTTGCGAGAGGTGATGGAACCACTGAGCTGCTAAATCCCTGGCCCAGTCCCTGTTTTCTCTTTTCATACTACTCTCTGGAATGGCCCTTGCATTCCAGCCATGCATCTGTTTCTGTTCTTCAGATGTATCAAGTGTGCTCGGATCTGGTGGCCTTTTGTACTTGTTCTCTCAGCTTAGAGTGCTATTTCTTCAGAGTTTTGCTTAATTTTCTTTCTTAGGTCCTAGATAAAATTTACCTCCTTAGGTTAGGCTCTTTATCTTCCCATGTTTTTGTCTACTTCTTAATACCTCCTGAAATCATAATACTTATTTTATATATTTATTTTTTGTGGTACTGGGGTTAAATCCTTTGCCCTGAGCTATTTCTCTAGTCCTTTCAAAGATTTTCAATTCTGAGACAAGATCTTGGTACGTTGCCTAGACCAAGTACTTACACTGGACTACACATGGCCCTCAAGCTGTCCCTCCTAGAGGGATAGGAGTTCATGTGAATGCCACAGTGCCCTGTTGTGTTTATTTTTTAGATTTTCGTGTTTCTGTCCATAGACTATAAATTTCATAAACAGCTCAGCCTTGTCTGTACTTGTTACCATGTAACTAGAATCATACAGTACAAACCCAGGTTTATGTGATTACTTGCCTTATGAAAGATTTGGACAAGTTTCGTAAGGGGGCAGGGAGGGTTTTCTGTGTAGGCAAGGCACTATAAAGTGGAGTAGCTTTGTGTTTTATTTTTCAAGACAGGGTCTTGATCTTTTGATTTCTGAAAAAAGGAGGCATTTGTTTGTTACAAACATCTTAAAATAAACTATTTAGAAAATGTAACTAAGGAAAAAGTAAGAACAGCTTTCCCATGCATGGATAACTGATGTGTAATCAGCATTATTCTGATACATATTCATACTTGTCTATACATATATGTGCACATATATTCAAAAACCTAAATTTGGCGTTGTGGGCTTATTGATGACTTGAGGTAAAATGAGGACAGCCAAGAGAAATTAGCAGGCATTTGAAGATAACAAAATTAAGTTACTGGTATTTTATCTGGATCTTTTGGGAATGGACATGGACTTTAAAACCGAAGAAAATGCAGTGAAGGAGGCTATGGGTGAAGTTTGGGAACCTTGAGGAGATAGAGAAATTGGAATTGCTGTGGTGTGGGAATCATTGTAGGATTCAAACGATAACCTCACATTTTATTAGATAGTGAGAAGGTGAATCTGAAAATCCTTTGGAAAGGATTATTTCAAGGTAGAACAGCTGTTGTTGCAGACCTCAACTGCAGAAACTTAACATCCAGTAATTTAGCATCTTTTAGAGTGATACTATTCCTTCATTAGTTATCCGTGGTTCAGGTTGTTGCTCAGAATGTAAAATTTTAGGGCCGGGGTTTTAGCTCAGTGGCACTGTGCCTGCCTCACAAGCACAAGGTCCTTAGTTCCAATCCCCGGTACCAAAAAGAATGTACATTTTTTATGCAGGTGAGTTGCATGAGAAAATTTTCTCTCATATAAATATTAATTCTTGCAGATTTATATGTGGATTGCCAATGTTTTGACAAAAAAAGATGGTTTTTTTTGTTTTTGTTTTTTTGTACCGGGGATTGAACTCAGGTCCTTGCACTTGCAAGGCAGGCAGCAGAACCACTGAGCTAAATCCCCGGCCCCAAAAATGGTTTTAATATTGACATCATAGAAACTTAAAATTGTAGTCTGATAGTACAGTATTGGGTTTTTGTCAATTTATTATTGTATATTTTAATTTAACCCCTTTTACTGTATAATTGTATAATTAAAGATACATCAAATTCTTCAGTCTAACGCTCTCCCAGCTGAGCTATTTCGGCTTTCAATACATCAAATTCTTAAAAAGCTGAGATGTGCCTGTAATCTCAGCACCCTGAGAACCTGAGGCAGGAGGATCACAAATTTGGATCCATCCTGTACAGATTAGTAGCTTAGTAAGACCCTGTCTCAAAATGAAAAGGGCTAGGGGTATACCTCAGTGTACAGGATCTGGGTTCATTCATTAGTACTTAAAAAAGAAAATAAAATAATTTTTTTTATATCTTAAAACTTAATATCCTGGCCAGGCACTGTAGTCTCAGATATTTGGGAGGCTGATGTATGAGGGAGGGTTGCTTGAGCCCAAGCGTTCAAGGCTAGCCTGAATGAATGATGTGGCAAGACCTCACCTTAATTTTTTTTTTTTTTTTTTTTTTTTTTTTTAAATTGAACTCAGGACCTTGTGCTTGCGAGGCAGGTGCAGTGCCACTGAGCTACATGCCCAGCCGTTAAATATATTTTTAGATATTCTTGTAGAGAAAGGAATAGATTGAAGTATTGGAGTTTCTGGAAAATATTAAGGTGACTGTTTAAACAATAGTTTAGAATCTAGAAAACTTTGGATGGGCACGCCATTCTTGGATCAACATGTTTCTTTCGGCTTGAGCCACTAGTGGTACATGGCTCGCTGTTGCAACAGGCAGCTTCTGCTGGTGGTAGAAGTGGCACAGCCATGCATGAGACAGTCATGCATATACCACCTGAGTCCAAGCGGGTTGACAGTGAGACATGAATTACAACCGGGATTGTTTTTTTTTTAAAAACTAGACACCATAACTCTTCAAAGACACATATATGTCTTTATTATTTTTATGGGAAAAACACAAATTGGAAATTCAAAATTTGAAGTCATTAGTACAAATTTTGCATTCTCTCCTGAGTTTTCATTTCTCAACATATACTGTTCTTTGGGGTTTTTTGCTTTGTTTTGTTTTTTGGTACCCGGGATCGAACTTGGGTCATTGGGCTTGAAAGGCAGGTGGCGGAACCTCTGAGCTAAATCCCTGGCCCTAGACTGTTTTTTTGTTTTTGTTTTTGCTTTTGAGACAGAGTCTCACTAAGTAGTTGAGACTGACCTGGAACTCACTATGTAGCCCAGGCTGGACTCAAACCTGCTGGGATTACAGGCATGCGCCACCATGCCTGGCTAGACTGTTCTTTTTGATAACCCTAAGGTTATGATAAAAATTAGTGTTAGCTGTGCAAATCAACTGCAAGATTCACACTGATCTCATTCTTCCGTAACTGTCCTCTACCCCTATGCCTCCCCAAAAGGGCAGGTAGATTATATGGCTCTAAAATCATTATGCTTACATTTTATTTTAACAAGGAAGTGTTTTTCTTCCAGGTCTTTGTAGGTAAAATACCAAGAGATCTTTATGAGGATGAGTTGGTGCCCCTTTTTGAGAAGGCCGGTCCCATTTGGGATCTACGTCTTATGATGGATCCACTGTCTGGTCAGAACCGAGGGTATGCGTTTATCACCTTCTGTGGAAAGGAAGCTGCACAGGAAGCTGTTAAACTGGTATGTGATAAACAAATATCCGCTGTCCACCAAGTTACTGGTTGAGAGAATCTCAGCTTAAAAATATTTTCACTTAACATATTCCTTTTCCTTGTTTCTTTGAATGTTTTTTTTGTTTTGTTTTGTTTTGTTTTTTACTGAGTTGACATGTGATCTTTGCTTTAATTTTTATCTGACTAAAAAAAGTCAAAATGAAGCCAAGTATGGTAATGCACACTTGTAATCCCAGCACTCTTGGAGGCTGAGGCAGAGAGAGGATCGCAAGTTTGAGCCAAGCCTGGGAAACAGCAATTTAGTGAAACCCTGTCTCAAAATTAAAATTTTATAAAAGTATTTGACTTTTTTTTTTTTTTTTTTGGTGCTGGAGATCAAACTCAGGACCTTGTGCTTGTTAGGTAGGCGCAAGTGTTTGACTTCTAACTTTAATTTTTTTCTTTTTTGTTTCTAAACCTTTTAAGTCCTTTTGCCTTTACTTTTACCATTTTGTGTTTAGTTTGTTTGGTTTTTGTTTTTGTTGTTTTTTGTTTGTTTGATTTTTTAGTTTTTTGAGACAGAGTCTCACTTTGTAGTTCAAGCTGGCCCTGAACTCACTGTGTAGCCCAGGCTGGCCTCGAACTCACAGCAATCCTCCTGCCTTAGCCTCCCAAGTGCTAGGATCACAGGCATGTGCCACCACACCTGGTCTTAGTTTTGAGCACTAGTGATGATAAAGCTCTGCAAGTTATGTCTTCAGTCCTGTATGACAGTATGTTTGTTTCAGTGTCATAAAGTAACAAGTGACTTTTTTTGTTTTTGTTTTTGTCTTTTGAGACAGGGTCTCACTATGTAGTTGAGACTGACCTGGAATTCACTGTGTAGCCCAGGCTGGCCTTGAACTCTTTGAGATGCTACAGCCTCAGCCTCCTGAGTGCTGGAATTACAGGCGTCTGCTACTTCACCCAGCTACTTTTGGTTTTTGAGACAGCCACTATGTCATTCAGGCTAACTTTGAACTAATCTTCCTACTTTATTCTCCCAAGTGCTGGGGTTACAGGCATGTGCCATCATACCAAGCAAAAGTATTATTTCGATACTATTTAAAACCTTGCATTTATAGAGTTGTGTTTTGTACGCAATGTGAAATTCTAAATTTCTTTTACATTTTGATTAAGCACAGCTGTTATTCTTTATATATTGTTTTGAGTATGGCTTATCTATATTTAATTGATCCTTAAGGACTCTGAATAATCAGTCTCAGGTACTTATTTTGAAATTCTCTCAAAAAGAATTTTCAGGTAAATACAATTGAAATAGGAAATGAGGTTTTTAATTTATTTTTATTTGTGAGACAGGGTCTGGCTATGTAGTTCAAGGCCAGCCTTGAAATCATGGTAATCCTCCTGCCTCTGCCTCCTGAGTGCTGGGATTACAGACATGCAACACCATGCCTGGTTTGAAACGAGGTATTTTAAAAAATAAAGTGATTTACCTTGAGTACTTTTCTATGTGAAGCAGTGGAGGTTAACAAAACCAAACTACAACAAAAGTTCATAATAATGAAATTTAAAATACACATTTGTATTAATAACAAACATGAGAGGACTTGGTAAGTTCATGAAGCAGTGAGTGTTTGGCCTTAAATTGTGAAATCTTTTAGGTTCAAACCAGTTGTCCTCAGTTTGGGGTAGTTTTGGGGTCTCTGGTTTTCTCCTTCCTTGCAGTGTGACAGCTATGAAATTCGCCCTGGTAAACACCTTGGAGTGTGTATTTCTGTGGCAAACAACAGACTTTTCGTTGGATCCATCCCGAAGAATAAGACTAAAGAAAACATTCTTGAAGAATTCAGTAAAGTAACAGGTAAAACAAAAATGTATTTAGAATTTAGCTTTGGAAAATCTGTTATATTACTTATAAATTTATTAATACAGAAAATGAGATAACGTGTTAAACTAAGAGTTCAAGTCTTCTGTATATAAATTGCTTATTTTCTGCTTTATAGTGGTTTAAATAAATTCCCTCATATCCTTGATTTCTTGGAATTTCTCCTTCTTCTGACTCTTAAATTTTGTCAGAGCCTTTGCCCTGTGTCCCTTGAGTGAAGGTTTTTCACATACCCCCTCCCCCACTTCAGGGCGAGGATATAAAGTTCTTATTCCTTCTTTCCTGTTGACTTACTTAGATCTTTTCTTGAGACAGGGTCTTGCTATGCAGTTCAGGCTGCGCTTGAACTGTATTGAGCCCATGCTGGCCTCAAACTCAACAGTGATCCTCCTGCCTTGGCCTCCTGAGTGATGAGATTACAGGCATGTGCCACCACCCAGAAAGTACACTTTATATTACAGATAGTATATATTAGTATATAATTGAATGATTTAACAGAATCTTATTTTGATTTATTACACAGTTTATTGCAGGTCTTTCTTTTTCTTTTTTTAATGGTTCTTGGGCTTGAACTTAGAATCTCATGCATGCTAAGTAAGGGCTCTACCACTGAGCTACACCCTCAGCTCTTATTTTTTTGTGTGGGTCTTGCTGTGCTGTTCAGGCTGGCCATGAATTTGGTAATCTTCCTGCTTCAGCCTCCTTAGTACCTGGGATTATAAGCATTTGCCACTATGTTTGCCCATTCAGTTTTTTATATGTCTTGTCTAAGGCTAGATTTGATTTATTAAATGCTGTCTCCTACTGCAAAAATAACATTCCTTTACATTTTTGACATCCAGACATAATGATCTATCCCTTGCCCTAAAGCTTTCATTGATCGTTCTTCTGGTTTCAGCTTTTCTTTAGTCTGAAGATTGCTTCATATTCTTCTTCTGCCCTAAATTGACTTATTCTTAGTACCTTTAACATGTGGATGACCCATCCAAGGCCCTAGATATCTGGTTCTCTGACCATCTTATTTGTAGTCCTTTACTTCTACTCTGCCATCTCCAGATCACATTCTGGATCTGGACACCAGAAATTCTGCCCATCTACACTCTTGATTTTTCTATCATCCCGATTTGTAACTGCCTCTGCCCATTATAATTGTGTTTGTCAGATATCCCACTGGAGCAGTTTTTTGACCATATCACTTTTTATTTGCCAGCTTCTTCCTGGCTTCATGTCCGTTTTCTCATTCCTTCAGATGTTTGTTAAAGTGCTTGTTCAGTGCTGGCATTGTGCTACGTACTGGGATATGGTGGACCATAAGAGACCTATTCTCTGCTCTCAGAGTCGACATTCTAGGGAAAGAATTAAGACCCCAAAAATAAATATGTACACATTGTGGTAAACTCTGTGAAGGAAGAAATGCAGAATAGAGAATAGCTACTATCCTTGTTTCTATGGTTATAGAAAGTTTTTCTGATAAGGCATCATTTCAAGTAAGACTTGAAGAATGGAGAGGATATATTACACAAAGAGCAGAGAGAAGTGCATCCCAAGAGAGCAACAGGTGCCAAGTTTCCAGGGAAAAAATAACTATATATTAAGGTAACAGAGCTGGGCGTGGTGGTGCATGCCTGTAATACCAGCCCTTGGGACGCTGAGGGCAGGGGGATTTCTGTGAATTTGAGACCAGTCTGGGCTACGTAGTGAGTGCCAGATCAGTCTCAACTACATAGTGAGACCCTGTCTCAAAAAAAACCCACCCCCCCAAAAAAAATAAATAACAGAAGAGTGTTGTTGCTAAAGGTAAAATCAGGGGCCAGGGATTTAGCTCAGTGGTTCCTCTGCCTGCCTCCAAGCACAAGAACCCGAGTTTGATCCCCAGTACCAAAAAAAAAGAGTTAAAATCAGGAGAATTATGTGAAGTAGAGAGGGCCTTTCTAGATCATGTAGGAAGTTAGGGTTATTTTATATAGTAATAAAAAAGTATTTGAAGGTCTTAAGGAATGTTATCTGTTTCACAGTTACAGAATATTATTCCTATGGAATTGTAGATGAGGTCTTGGGAGTGCGGTCAAGGGTGGAAGTTGATCCATTAGGTGAGGCTGTCATAGAGTAGATCAGATGGATGACTGGACTAGACTAGGGCAATGGAAGGGGAATAGCAGGGGAAGTGGAACGAAGTAATTGAGTTTGGAACTGTATAGGAAAGATGAAGTAAAGGAAAAAAATCAAGACTGTCTCATCAATTTCTTAAGAATATGGTAGTGGCATTATTAGATAGGGAAGACAGATTTTGGGCATAGTGGTGCTGTTTGGGACGTGTTAAATTTATCTGAGACAGTAGGGCATGTTAAGCAATTAAGACGCTTGTAAACTTACAGAAGTCTGGGCTAGAAATAAAATCAAAGCATTTATAAAGCATTTATGGCTGAGCATGGTGGCATGTGCCTATAATCCTGGCACTTGAGAGGCTGAGGTAGGAGAGTTGCCATGAGTTTGAGGCCAGCCTGGGCTACATAGTGAGTTTCAGGGCTAGCCTGAATTACATACAAAAAAAAAAAAAAAAAGATAGTATTTAAAACTAGGGCTCGGGCTGGAGATGTAGACTAGGAGAAGAGTGTTTGCGTAGCCTGTGAGAAACCCTGTATCTCAGCATCACAAAAAACAAACCAAAATATCTAGTAACTTTTAAGGTAGATTTAAAGAAGGAAGGTTATTTTGGCCTTGATTAGATGTTGAAAGTTAGTTCTTTGAGTTTTGTTAATAATAGTTTAGTTTTGAAGGTCTTTAATAGTGTGCCTACAAAAAAGTTGCCCAGCATAGTAGTGCATGTCTGTAATCCCAGCACTTGGGAGGCTGAGGCTGGAAAGTTGCCATGAGTTCAAGGCCAACCTGGGCTTCGTAAGTGAATTTAAGGCCAGCCTGAGTTACCCAAAAATTTATGAGGTCATGTTATATGAAACACTTAAAACATTGTAGGATGCTAAGTGACAAAATATAGTTGTTGGGAGTAATGTACCTTTAGGACCCTAAAATTAATTGGGAACATATAATATTGTCCCAGATCTCATATCTAATTATATTGATCTAATTGTCTACTAAGTAATTAGTGACTCATTTTGAGGCTTTTTCAGTTATTTTTGATTATTGGCAAATGGATTTAGGTCTGCCTGATCACTAGATGTGTGGTGGATGCTTTTGGCTTATATATCTGGCTGTTGGTTTAACAGAGGGTTTGGTGGACGTTATTCTCTATCATCAACCCGATGACAAAAAGAAGAATCGGGGGTTCTGCTTCCTTGAATATGAGGATCACAAGTCAGCAGCACAAGCCAGACGTCGGCTGATGAGTGGAAAAGTAAAAGTATGGGGAAATGTAGTTACAGTTGAATGGGCTGACCCTGTGGAAGAACCTGATCCAGAAGTCATGGCTAAGGTAAATGCAGTTGCTTGGATTGGGGGTAGTTTATCATTTCTTTTTCTTTTTTTTTCTTTCTTTCTGTTTTTGGTACCGGAGATGGAACTCAGGACCTTGTGCTTGCAAGGTAGGCATGGTGCCACTGAGCTAAATCCCTGACCCTGTCATTTCAATTTTATACCCAAAGCTCAAACTTTTCCATGTTTATAATAAATTCCAGTTGTGTTTTATAAGGAGCTGATTTAACACTGAATCAGTAGTGCATCTTAGTGTCCAGATATTAACCCTCTATTGACCGTCTCCTTTCCTGCATAGTAAATGTGCCAATGGTACAGAAATTAATCCTTTCAATTAAGTATTTCATAATACCGTGTATTTGCTTAGTGCAGGGCACCTTAAGGGATATAGAGGTTATAAAAAGGAACCTTCATTGACCACACTATGACTTTTATTTATTACATGTTCATGAGTTATATATTTTTAGATTTAGAGCTAATTTTTTTTAAAGTTTTTTTCTTTTTCAACTTCCCTTAGAGTATTGTTCCCATTTAGAAAGGCAAAGGATTGTCATGTCTGTAGTGTTTGCTCTTACTTGGTAATGGCATAATATGCATATCAGGTCCTATTAGAGGGCCTTTGTTCCCTCCTAAGTCCTTTCCTTTCGTGATCAGGAAATTTGGTAAGAGGTGGTACCATGTGTCCTGGTTCTTAGGCTTTCCTTTAGGTGTCTCCTGGATTTGAAGGAACACGTCAGAGTTTCATCTCTGCTGCTTGGAGTAAATTTATGAGTAGTTTGCTGTGTCTCTTCCCTTCTCAAAAAGGCTATCGCTCTATGGATGGCCATAAGTTACTGATTAGGTTCTTCATGGCTGAAATTTCTTTTGGGGACAAGGTCTCATATGTAGTGAGCCCAGGCTGTTCTTGAACTCAAAGTGATCCTCCTGCCTCATCCTCCTGAGTGCTGAGATAACAGTTGTTCACCACTGTATCCAGCAATGAAAATTCTTTTCTTCAAGCTTTTTATTCAAGCTTTTGAGGAGGCACATCATCACTGTGACTAGTTTGGAGAACTTTGGTTTATACGGTGCTAGTATGGTGTAAAGGCTTTGTAGGTAAAGGCATCTTTGCATTAAACAAGATCCATTGGGAATGAATCAGAGAGGCTCAGTAATGCTGCTTATTATCTTTTATGTTGTGTTCCTTGAGTCGATGTGTATCTAAGAAAAGGACTGGAAATCTAGCCCTGTTTTTTTCTTTTTTATTAAGTTGATTTTAATTCCAGTTATTTCTTCTTATAATACAATTACAGCTTTGGGCAAACTACTAAACCTTGGTATCATTTGTTTTATTGGTGTGGATAAATCTCTAAGATCCATTAGAACTTTGAATCTCTCTGTAGAAACAAAGTGTAACCTGTGTGACTTTTTCTATAAGATCATCTAAAAATGTCGTTGTAGATATAGTGTACATTATATGGGAGGAAGGATGTTCTCTGAAAACCTGAAGTATAACATGCTAGTCATTTGCTTTTCAACCACTTTTAACATACCCTAGTAATCTTTCCAGGTAGAAGTTAATCCTAATCTTTTTTTTTTTTTAATCAGAAAATCTTAAGGTTTTATTTTTGTAACTTTTTTCCTGAATCAGCAACAAGTTTCAGGATGCAGAGTTCTAGAAACTTTGTTGAATAATATTGATTCCTTTCTTTTTGGTTATGGGGATCGAACTTGGGATCTTGTGCTTGCAAGGCACGTGGCAGAACCACTGAGCTAAATCCCCTGCCCTCCTTTCTTGTTTTTTTAATTGAGAAAAATATTGTCCATTAGAGTAAAGCTGTTCAATCAGTGTTAAAATTCATTGAAGATTCTTTGTCAAGTTGGGTCATTTTTATCTTTCGGTGCCAGGATCTTTTGCATGTTAAGTATATGATCTTAATTTCTGAAATAGCCGCAACCTTCCTACTGAACCTTTTCAGCACAATTCCAATAAGTAATTTTTATATAGCACATAATAGTTTCTTCACAGAAAGAGAAAAAGGTCCATGTTTAGTTGAAGAAAAGGTTTGGGGTGTGGTACAGTGGTGGTGGAGCATTTACCTGGCATGAGTGAGGCCCTAGGTTTGATCCCTAGCACCACAGAAAAATTAAATTATAAAAAAGGTGAATAAGCTGGGGGCAGAGCTAGGCCTCAGTCTGGCAACATTGAGAAAAGTAAAGAGAGGAAGGGTAGAGGTGATCCTTTCTTATTCATCAAGCCCCTTATCTGAAGCAAGTTTGTTCAGTGGGTGTGTTAATTTTTTGCTTGAATGATTGATGTATTTCCTTAGTTCAGAAATTATATAGAAAGGTATAGAAGAAGTCCTACTTCCACCCTAACCCACCATGTCTGCCCTGTCCCTCTTCTCCACCTTGAGGCATCCAGTTTCAGTAGTCTCCAGTTTATTGCTTCCTTAGGCAGATTCTGGCAAATGAATATACATTCTTATTTTGCTTATATCCAGTGTGAATGGCTGCTGGTAGTCTCCTTTATTCATTGGTCTTAATTTGCTTTATTCATTAGTTTCTTTCATCAGCCCTAGGAAAATACTTCATTATTATATGTACCATTAAAAAAATTAAAGATGCTGGCAGTTAAACTGTGAGGCAGTGGTTGCTTATCCCATTGACAGTTGTGTCTCTGTTTTAGGCTGGGGATTTAGCTCAGTGGTTCCACTGCCTGCTTTGCAAGTGCAAGGACCTGAGGTTCATCCCCAGTACCAAAAAAAAAACCAAAAACCAAACGGTTATAGCTCTGTTTTGGAGCTATAAATAATGAGGAAACCTTACCAAGAGATCCTGGAAATCTTTATATTACCTCATAGTATTCTTTCTCATTTTTATGGCTACATAATGCTCCATTCCATAAATAAACAATATTATATTTGGCCTGCTGGATATTGAGTTATTTTAAATTTCTGTTAATTTTATAATATTCTGAATAAATTTTTATGTCCGTTGATACAAATACAAATATATCTTTAAGATAGATTCTTAGGGGTAGAATTGTAGGCAAAAGGAGATGTTCGTCGTCCCTGACAAAATAGAATATAGTCAAACTTTTTTGATTTTTGTCAATCTGACAACAAATGATTGTCATTATTGTTAATGACTTGCTTCTCATTATAGATGAATTTGAGCTTTCACTGTGTTTCTTTGTATGAACCATGTGTTCTCAAATTTGACTCAAACTTGAATTCTTTCCCCGGCCTCCCAGAGTGCTGGAATTATAGGCCTGTGCAACCACACTGGCTAACTTCATCTATTTTTCTGTTAAGTTGTTGAATTTTTAATTTTCTGGTGCTCTGATATAAAGGAAAAGTAATCTCTTTGTAATACTTGTTTCCACTTTTAAAAAAATATTTGTCATTTGTCTTGACTTTGCATATGGTACTTTTTGCCATGTAAAAGCTGTTTATTTTTTTCTATTTTTTATTTTTTTTTGGTACCAGGGATTGAATTTAGGACTTCACGCTTGCCAAGCAGACACTGTGCTGCCGAGCTAAATCCCCAGCCCGAAAGTGTTTATTTTTAGTAGTTGAATGTATCACTCTTAAATGCTTTCTAGGTTTTAAGTCACAAGACCATTTTACTCCAGTGTTATATAAAAGAATCTGTCTTTGTTTTATTCTGATACTGTCACATCCCTCTGTTCCTTAGGCCTTTTTTTTTTTTTCTTTTTTGGTACTGGGGATTGAACTCAGGACCTTGCACTTGTGAGGCAGGCGGTGGCACCACTGAGCTAAATCCCCAGCCCTCCTTAGACTTTTGATCTAGTTGGTGTTTATCTTGATATATATATAGTGTGAGGTTTGGACCAACTTTTACTTTTTTTTTTGGTACCGGGGATTGAGCTCGGGCTCTTGCACTTGCAGGGCATGTGGCAGAACCACTGAGCCACATCCCCAGCTCCCTCTGTGTCCTCTCCAAACCTCCTCCCTCCCCTACTCTCCCCTCCCCTCTTTCTTTCTGTTTCTCAATCTCAGGACCTTGTGCTTGTGACACAGATGTGGTGACACTGAGCTAAATCCCCAGCTCTAGCCTATACCTTTTTTTAAAAAATTATGTTGAGTCAGAGTTTTGCTAAGTTGCACAGGCTAGGCTTGAACTTGTGATCCTCCTCCCACAGCTTCTCAAAATGCTCAGAGGTCACAGGTGTGTAGTACCATGCCCTGCTAACACTATGCTTACTAATGATTTTAAGTGTTATGGTTTGTCATTGTCTAGATTATGCTTTTTTTCTTTCCTGGCTGTTCTTACTTATTTTTTCATATGAACTTTAAAAAATGTCCAGTTCTAGGGGAGAAAACATAATCCCGCTTTTTTCTTTTCTGATACCAGGGATCAAACTTAGGACCTTGCGCTTGGTGCTACTGAACTAAATCCCCAGGTCTAGGGGAGAAAACAGAAACTCATTTTGAGGGGAGAGCTATGTTAATTTTGTTTAGTAATAAATGTGGTGGCTTGTTGAAGGTTCTATTCACATTAAGTGCTTTCTTTAAATGACACCAGAGGAACCAACAATTTATATAAGATTTTTTTTCTTTATTTATTCCTGTTAGGTGAAAGTTTTATTTGTAAGAAACTTGGCTACTACCGTTACAGAAGAAATATTGGAAAAGTCATTTTCTGAATTTGGAAAACTAGAAAGAGTAAAGAAGTTGAAAGATTATGCATTTGTTCATTTTGAAGACAGAGGAGCTGCTGTTAAGGTAAGACATTTTGAATTTATTTCTACTTGGTATTTGAATTTTGGCTGTTGAAACTAGCTAAATAGAAAGTGACTTTAAAAACTGAAAGGGTTTTGGCTAACTTTTTTTTTTCTTGAAGTGTGCTGGGGTATGAATTTAGGGCTTCGTGCATGTTAGGCAAGCACTGAACCAACCACTGAGCTATATTGGTTTTCTTTTAATAATTTTTATATAGTGCTAGTAATACATATAATAGGTAAAACTCCAAAGCTGGATTTTTTTTACTGAGTTTGTTGGTGGAGTGGGAGGTACTGGGGATTGAACGCAGGGGCACCACTGAACCTAACCCCTGGCCCACTTACTTTGAATTTTTTTTTTTTCTGCCCAGGCCATGGCTTTAAAACATCTTATAATTTGAATTGTGTAGATGTGTTTTTGTTTACTTTTCTGGAGTGGGTGTCAGGCTCAGGACCTCAGTTGTGCTAGGCAAGTGCTCTACCACTGAGCTATGCCCCAGGCACTAGTATAAAATTAATTGGTTTGCTCATTGATGCAATCTGATGAGGAAACATTGCATATAAAATTCATAGCTTTTATAGAATTTATGCTTGGTTTCTGAGATTTTCAGTGATATAGGACACAGATAACTAATAAATTTATAAAATACTTGCTAAATATTCCTTTTGATTCAGTTAGTATTAAATGATTGGTTCACATAATTGAAAATTTTTACAAGAACTGGTAGGACAGTTTGTGAAAGAAGGAACCAGGACTCACCTTTGAAGTTGGTCAGGGGAGAGTAGATCATCCTGATTCTTTTGTTTATAGTAGAAAGCATTTGTTTTGTTTTGGTTTGTATGTATGTTTTTTCTTTCTTTCTTTCTTTTTGGTTTTTTGAGACAGGGTCTCACTATGTAGACTGACCTGGAACTCACTATGTAGCCCAGGCTGGTCTTGAACTCATAGGATCCTCTTGCCTCTGCCTCCCGAGTGCTGGGATTACAGGCGTGCACCACCATGCCCGGCTGGTGTGTATGTATTTCAAGCTGAGGATTGAAGTAAGGCATGGTAGGCAGATGCTTTACTACTGAGCTCCAGTTAGGTCCTGACTTACGAACATTTGAATTGCAAACTTTCACAGATATGAAGGACCTTACATTTAGTTTTTCTATGTTTTACATTGTATATTTGTGTCAAAGGTGTATAAGACTTCATTTTGTTGGATTTGTGAACAAATCCAACTTATGAACATTCTTCAGAACAGGACTTCTTTGTAAGTTGGGAACTCACTGTGCATTCCCAGCCCCTACCCAGGAAGCTTTTGTAGACTTTTTTAGTTGTTTTAAGCTGAAACAGCTCAAAACTGGGGTAATAAAAGAAGGGGGGAAATTAAAATAACAAAAGAAAACTAATATTTACCTAGATACTAATAAATCACTGAACATTATTTTATTTTAGTGTGTTTGCCTGGGAAGTGGGGAAAAGGCTGTACTGTAGGGAAGAAATGTATGTGAGAAGGCAGTATTTTGTGACTGAGTACTTGGGCCTTGAAGTGTGACAGTAGTGGGTGTGGGATAAAGCAGTGTGAATCAAGAACTAAAACACATGGTGGTTGCGGGTGTGTGTAGCTTCCTTCAGCTTCTCAGGTCTTTGTGCTTTTAACTGTTCAGGAAGCGTATGCACCAGTGGAAACCTCTGAAGAAACCTAGCTTTTTTTTTTGACAATATCTTGTTGATTCACCGATAAGCTTATTCAGTAACCTCATTTAATTTCAGGTCCTTAAAATTTTTTGCATAAGAATAGTATAAGACCTATATGTTGAATACCACATTCATTTAAATCCCAGAAAGCTAATTTTTGTCCAGTTTGTATCAATACTGACATTTTCCCCTGGTACGTAGAGCATTAGGTGGCTCTTTTACCTTTTAAAATATACTACAAGGGTATCATAGTAATCAGTTCTCATTGTAATTTATATATGGAACAATAAGGTAGAAGGAAAGGAGTATACTTCTTTAAGATTTTTCTGGCAAGAATAGTCTTTCAAGTAAAATCGTGAAATTGTTTATTGAGTATATTAAATTACATATTTATGTTATGTTTTTTTTTTTGGTACCAGGGATACCTTGCAAAGCAGGCTGCAGCACCACTGAGCTAAACCCCCGGCCCTTTATGTTATGTTTTAAAACACTTTTTTATAAAATAATTTTTCTCATTTTGTTTAGGCAATGGATGAAATGAATGGAAAAGAAATAGAAGGGGAAGAAATTGAAATAGTCTTAGCTAAGCCACCAGATAAGAAAAGGAAAGAGCGCCAAGCTGCTAGACAGGCCTCCAGAAGTACTGCGTGAGTATTTTAGTCTTTGAACAAGGAATAACTTGGTAACAGAGATCAGGTTAATAGTACAAAATTAGAAGAGTCTTGAAGTAAGCTGACTTGGTTTTTCTTTTCTCCTTTCCCTCCATTACTAGGTATGAAGATTATTACTATCACCCTCCTCCTCGCATGCCTCCTCCAATCAGAGGTCGAGGTCGTGGTGGAGGTAGAGGTGGATATGGCTACCCTCCAGATTACTATGGCTATGAAGATTACTATGATGATTACTATGGTTATGATTATCATGACTATCGTGGAGGCTATGAAGATCCCTACTACGGCTATGATGATGGCTATGCAGTAAGAGGAAGAGGAGGAGGAAGGGGAGGGCGAGGTGCTCCACCACCACCAAGGGGGCGGGGAGCACCACCTCCAAGAGGTAGAGCTGGCTATTCACAGAGGGGGGCACCTTTGGGACCGCCAAGAGGCTCTAGGGGTGGCAGAGGGGGTCCTGCACAACAGCAGAGAGGCCGTGGTTCCCGTGGAGCTCGGGGCAATCGTGGGGGCAATGTAGGAGGCAAGAGAAAGGCAGATGGGTACAACCAACCTGATTCCAAGCGTCGTCAGACCAACAACCAACAGAACTGGGGTTCCCAACCCATCGCTCAGCAACCGCTTCAGCAAGGTGGTGACTATTCTGGTAACTATGGTTACAATAATGACAACCAGGAATTTTATCAGGATACTTATGGGCAACAGTGGAAATAGACAAGTGAGGGCTTGAAAATGATACTGTCAAGATATGATTGGCTCTAGATCTACATTCTTCAAAAAAAAAAAAAATTGGCTTAACTGTTTCATCTTTAGCAGTTTGCTGCCATTTGTATTGGGCTGAAGAAATCACTATTATGTATATACTCAAGTCTTTTTATTTTTCTTTTCATAAATGCTCTTGGACATTATTGGGCTTGCAGAGTTCCCTTATTCTGGGGGTTACAATGCTTTTATCGTTTCAGGCTTCATTTTAGCTTCAGAACAAGTTGTTAAATCATGATTTTGCAGAACCTTTGGTTTGGACAGCTTCATTTTTTTTGGATTTGGAATAGACTACATAGGAGTATGAAGTATGCTGTAAATAAAAATACAAGCTAGTGCTTTGTCTTAGTAGTTTTAAGAAATTAAAGCAAACAAATTTAAGTTTTCTTGTATTGAAAATAACCTATGATTGTATGTTTTGCATTCCTAGAAGTAGGTTAACTGTGTTTTTAAATTGTTATAACTTCACACCTTTTTGAAATCTGCCCTACAAATTTGTTTGGCTTAAACGTCAAAGCCGTGACAATTTGTTCTTTGATGTGATTGTATTTCCAATTTCTTGTTCATGTAAGATTTCAATAAAACTCAAAAATCTATTCAAAACATTACCTATTTCAAATTCAATTGTGTCCTAAAACATTATTTTATTCGTAATCCTTGCAAGGAATATTGTTTTCAAAGTATAACTGCCTATGTGAGTGATCAAATTCATGCAAAATTTCTTGTCTATTCCAACATGTACTGTGGATATCAAGAATTAGTCTAAATTCAAGTATTTATTCCAAATAGTACTTCATTGATTGGTGTTCTCTCATAATCTCTTCTAATTTTGAAATTTTATTCTTTATTTAAAAAACAGCTTCAAGAGTTTTTGAACATTTTTTTTGCAGACATTGGATAATTTGCATTAAAACAAATAAAATGGGTCTTGGGAAGCAGACTGCAATTTATTTTGACCCACATTCTTTCTCTCAAGGCTAATTTGTGGCTGAAGACCTTATTGGCTGGATAAGTGAATGTTCAAACAGAAAAGGCTTAGCACTGTGGCGTCAATTGCACTGCGAGTTTTAGTATACATGATTGTGACTACTGCTTTAAAATACCGGTTTAAGAATATAACTTCCTATTGCTATGTAAATTTGCTTTGGGAAACAGTCCTGCCTTGTGAGAGGCTTTTAAATATTCAGTATTTATACCTCTGACTTTCTGTTACTACCTCTTTTATTTTTATATTTTTATTGTCTCTCATGGCTGAGTTTTGGCCAGATCATAACTTCTATTTTCCTATTTCTTTTAGGAATCCTGATTTATTCTAATGACTTCTTTTGCTTGAGAAATAGAGAAAGAATATAAACTTTATAGTGCAGGAAAGCCTGAATCACCCTAAAATTACTATCAGATTGTCCTTTGCATTTTATTTTCAAGATGGTTTTGAAAACCTTTTTTGTTTTGGTGCTGGCAGTTGAACTCAGGTCTTTGCACATGCCAAGCACACACTCTACTGCTGAGCTATACCCCCAGCCCTTCCAATTTTATTTTTTTAATGATAAAAATGTATTTTGTTCCTGTTTGGTGTCTTTTGTGAAATATTAAATTTCAAAATCATAAGTTAATTCCTTAAAAGCTTTGTTAGATCATTTTGAGTTTCATAATTTCTCATTTCAAGTAAGAAAATTAACATTTGCTGATGAAAGTCATTATATCTCATTCTTTTTCAAAGACCACTCATGACACAGTAATTAGCAGGCTTTATTATTTTTTTTAAACAGATAAAGGAATTATATGGTCTGTCGTAGATTCAAGTTGACATGGGTTTTTGGTAAGGTTTAGATTTAAGTTTTTCTTATGCCCATGTATGTTAGTAAAGACACCAAACATTGTTTAAGTGCTCCTTTTAAACTTTGGAAATATGATTTGAAGCTGAAAGTCTAAATAGACTTCAAGCCCTGATTTTTCTTGTGATCAACAAAATACACATAAATGAGCTGTTTTATATTTCAAAAAATTAGATATTACAAGCTACAAAGTTTTTATGAAGAAAAATGGAAATGAAAATATATTCTAAAAATGTTTGTTGTGCTTCCCTCACATGCTCTTAAATATAAACCATAGTAAAGTTGAATAAACCTTGGGTTCCAAGTCACAATACTTTATTTTTTAATTTAGAGTGGCCACTTTCTCCTCTGTCTCTCTCATTAATTAAGAATATATCTGCAGAGGTGCCCCCTAATATTTGCTTTATAGGTTTTATGACTTATTTAACAACAACAACAAAAAAAACAAAACAAAAAAAAACAAACCCTATAAACATGAAATCTCACTTAAGAGCTTTTCGTTTTGGACGTCTTCTGAGTTATCACTAGTAGCATTCAGAGAAATTCAGAGCTCACCTTTTTACAAAAATATTTATATAAAACAAAACAAAAGTCAATGAGGGAATTCTTTATTCTAGATTTATATTAGATTATTAAAAAAAAATGAGTTCTGAGGAATTTTCTTTTTATTCTGCCTTTATATCTTTTATTTTCACAACCTAATTGATCAAGCTTTATGAGCCTATACACTGAAGTATATAGGGAAATGCATATTGAAGTAGCGCTATCTCTTTATAGGTGCCCTCCTGAGATTGATAAATATACCCCTTCCCCATAATGCAATGCTAATTTTTATTTGATCACTCATTTATAGCAGTTGCTTAAATGTATATATTTATATGAAGGTGTTTTAATTAAAAGCCAAAAAGTTGTAATAAGTTGCCAGATTTCTAATAAATCCAAGTTTACTTGGTCAAAAGGTAAAGAAAATGAGTTATGGTTCTGAAGTTAGTTTTTTTTTTTAAAACAAAAGCTCAGCGTGTTTTTCAGTTACTGGGGTTATTCTGCAAAAGAAAGCCCAATGCCTTCTGTTAGTAGTAGGTAATTTTTCTCTCTCTCAACTCTAAATTTAGGAGGTGAATCTCTTTTATAAAGGTCAGCATGCATCAAGAAATTACATATTTTAAATTATAACAGAAGAGACATAAAATTCCACTCTTAGCGGAAAGCCATATAATATTTTTGAAATTCATTACATCATTTGCCTCCTGCCCATTTGAATATAATCATACCTGTGTTTTATTGTGAAGTATTTGTAGAAACTAAACCCTTCCAGTAAATACTTGCTATAAGGCTGTTACTTTCAGTTATAAAGACAAAAATATGTTAAAATTTGCCATTTTGATTTCCTAAAGAATTGTTTTCTACTGAGTTATTCTCTAGTATTAAAACCAACTGTAAAGTTCTTGTCTTTTATTATGTGGAGTCTCAAGTGAGCAGCTAAGAGAAAGCCTTATAGAAAGAATGCACTGGATTTATGAGTGTGTTTGTTTCTCTATCAATGGGAGCTTCTGTTAACTTAGGGGTAGAGTTGTTCTGAGTTAACCAGTAGATTGGATAATTAACTGAAGAATCCAGAATAACAAATCCATTAACCAGACATGATTACTTTTTCATTGAAATTTGTTGATTAGGTTGTACTTTTTAAATGCAAACACCAACCTTTAAAACTATTACTTGTTTAATGTATTGGTCAGTAATTTATTATAAGTATTTAATTTGATAGTTACTGGTTATCTTTTTAGAAAAAATTTTTTTCTTTTTTACAGATAGATGGGGGTTTTTGTTGTTTTTTTTTGTTTGTTTGTTTGTTTGGTTGGTTTTTAATTTAGAGGTTACCAGAAGCTCTGGTTTTGTTTGTTTTTGGCTTTGTTTTTTAATCATTTTCAGATGTTATCCAGAAATCTGCAAGTGTACTTTTCCTGTTTTAACTCCTTCCTTTTATCACCTGACTATCAGGGAAGCGAGGTTGAGGCTGCCCTGACCTGACATGTCATGATGTCGACTTGCTAGGTGGGGTTCGCTGGGGACGATAACCAGTGGAATTGTTGGTAAGAACTTTTTTTTCCTATTTTTTTTTTTTTTTAATCATTAGTGGGTCATTATGTGTGGGGGAATTGCCCATATTTTATAAGTGGGCAGTTATGTTGGTCTTATAGAAAGATAAGATTTTAACATTAAATCTGTTCTTAATAGGAACATATAATAAGTATGTCAGATTCTTAAATTGGTAGCAGATTAGCAAAGAAGATCTGCAGGTATTGAAGTAATGAAATACTCAGGGTATATTTTAAGTTATCAAAATAAGTTGCAATTTAGAAAGTTTCAGAGAGATAATAAGTTGCTTTAGTTTACTGTGATTTCAGTCGCTCTAATATATCCAGTATAGTTTTATTGGGTACATGAGTTTATATTTCATCCTAAGAGATGTTTATTACACATTAATTTTAATGAAACTGGAAGGTATTGATAAACTAGAAGGTTTAAACAGTACGTATTTTCTAAATCTTAGCCTTGTAAAATTAAACTTAGAAGTTTTAACAATTTGGTAAACAATGGGAGTGTTGATTTAGACATATATCCATGTTAATGACTGGGTCGAGAGATAATTTTAAGACCTTGAGCATTTGTGAAACACAAATGTGGGGCTGGGGATATAGCTTAGTGGTAGAATGCATGCACAGCATGCTAGAGGCCCTGAATTCAGTTCCCAGGACAAAGGGAAAAAGAAAACACAGAGCTACTAACTGATAACTAGATAATGGTTAGAATTAAGACTTAAAATTTAAGTGGTTACTAAAGATTAAACTTTCATACTCTGCAGTGGAGTTCATGATGATAAATATAAATTGAAGAAATTATCAACTAGGTATTTCTGACCGTACCATACAAAATAATTGAATTATATAACATAGGGATTAAAAGTAGCAGCTTTTATACCCAGAGAGCCTCGTAAGAATTCTTATAGGACTTTACCTTGTTCATTACTGGTTGGAGGTATCTGTATGGAAGAAAATCTCCTAAGTGCTGAACATGTGCTAGTCAGTGTTTTAGTATAAATCTGTATTTGTAAGTTTGCTGTAGCCTAGCTATAAATCACTACAATGAAATTACACTTCAGGAATTACAGTTGTTGCAGTGTTGTATTAAGGCACTTGTTTTTCTGCTGGCACATTATGCATGAATTAATTATAGAAAAATCAGGGTATAGATTAAGAACTTAATGTTACACTAAAAGTGCATGCTCTTTGGGAAGTTTTATGGTAAGTGATAGGACACTTTAGTATTTTTGGTGAGTTTATATAAGTTAAGAGAAATGTACAAATTTGTTGACATACATTTACAACTAAATGTATTTCATGGGACTGAAAAAGAGGCATTCTGGGCAAAACCTTAAATTGCTCAAATGTAAACATGGGCTCTCATTTTATATGAGCTTTTCAGGATCCCATGAACATTGCTTCTCTTGCTATTTTATGTATGAGGATTGGGCAGCAGGGGGCTTATCTAGCCTGTTCGGTAACATAGGCAGGATTGTACTTGAGTGAGTCTTACGATGTTTAGTGCTATAAGGCTATTTCTATAATTGGACTAAAAGCTCCTGCAAGCATTAAATTGCTGGTATGCATATAGT